CAAAGCCAGTGCACTGAACCACTGAGCTGTTTCTTCAGCTCTGAGTCTCCCCTACCAACCCCCCTCACACACATTTTTAAAGAAAGTTTGTGCTCAGAGTTAGAATCACAATATATGTCCCAAATATTCAACGTTGAATTTCCAAATTGAATTCCAATGAGAGATCAGAAGAGAAAGGTCTCCACTTTGTATCTGGAAACCTCCCCGTCCTGGGACAGTGCGGGTGGGGAGAATCAATGGTTTAGTGTACTCAAAATAGCCCAACACCTTATTCAGGAATTGCAGTAAAGTGGCCCACACTGCTGTCTCCAGGAGTACCCAGAAACATATCTACAATGACAGGGCCTGAAGTAGACAGCCCTCCACAATTTGTATAGCTAAAAGACAGGCCTGTCTTGGGTGATTTCTGGATGGGGAGGAACCATTAGGGAAAAAAAAAAGATTCTCTCATTGCTAGCTCCCAGATTTGGCTGTTAGGGCAAAGGTAAAGTATTATTGTTACCAGGTAACTCCCCAATGGAACAATTCCAAAAGTCAGAAGCAGAAGACATATGGACCATGGGTTTAGATTTACTTATTTGGGACTGGCTCTTGGGGTCTTTTCTGAAAAGAAAATGTAAGGTCTTAATTTATTCTCTTATATTTTACTGTGAGTATTTTCTGAAATATTGGGTTTTTATTTTGGACCGATTCACCCAGTTAGTAATTGCTCTGGTTGATTTTTGTCAACTTGACATAAACTAGAGTCACTTGGAAAGAGGGAAGCGTAATTGGGGAATTGCCTCCATCAGACTGGCCTGTAGACAAGTCTGTGGGACACGTTCTTGATTAATGATTGATGTGGGAGGACCTAGGCCCACTGTGGGTGGTGTCAGTTCTGGGCAGGTGGTCCTGGGATGTATAAGAAAGCAAACTGAGAAGACCATGAGGAAGAAGCCAGGAAGCAGCGTTCCTGTAGGGCAGTAGTTCTCAGCCTTCCTAATGCTGTGACCCTTTAATACAATTCCTCATGTTGTGATGACCCCCAACCATAAAATTATTTTCATTGCTACTTCATAACTGTAATTTTGCTACTGTTACAAATCGTAAACACCTGATATGCAGAATATCTGATATGTGACCCCCAAAGGGGTTGCACCCCACAGGTTGAGAACCGATGCTCTGTGGTCTCTATTTGTCCCTGCCTCCAGGTTCCTGCTTTGACTTTCCTTGATGAGATGGTGACCGGTGACCTGTAAGCCAAATAAACCCTTCCCTCCACGAGTTGCTCTGGTTAGTGTTTTATCACAGCAACAGAAAGCAAATTATGACAGTAATTCCCTAGAGTCTGATAGCTATGAGGGTACTTAGTAAGTCCCAATAGGTCCTCTTTAAAGCTAGTTACATGAATGACTACCTCTGTAGGTCTTTAGGGGAACTTGGTCCCTAGCTGAACAGGGTTTGGATGAGAATCCTGGGCAGGGGTTGGTAGACATTTGTTTTGTTACACAACTAAGTAATTTACTTTTTGGTTATATGTTCTTCCTTGGTGTTTAAGACCATGTAGGTAGCCAAAAATTAACATCATCATCATCATCATCATCACCAGTCAAGACTGTGTAGGGATGACCCTTAGAGACCTATTGTAAGTAGGTTTCTAAGGAGCATCCCCAGGGCTCCTTTAATTTTGTTTTCTATCTAGTTGTGTTATCTGGACTGGGTCCAGGTCTTGCTGACTATGTGGCTTCCCTTGGAAGCCTCGAGGATACTTTTCTCTGTAATTAAATTACCCTGATCTTTACAAAATGTACACTGACTATAGTCAGACCCCTGGGTCTCCATGACCTCTCTGATAAAAACAGCAGGCGACTCACCAGTCCCTCTGAGGTCCTCGCAGCTGGCCCGGAGAAAAGGGGAACATGGAAAGGGGGCACTTTTTGAAGGCCCTTCGTCTTTGTTAGTCTTGGTTTCTCATGGCTGTTGAAAACCTGGAGGGTCAGATACACCAGTCCTAGAGAGTGAGCAGGGACTTAAAATGAACTGTTGTGTAACAGTCAGAGCAGTGGTTCTCACCCTTCCTAATTCTACGACCCTTTAATACAGTTCCTCATGCTGTGGATCCTCAACCATAAAATTGTTTTCATTGCTACTGCATAACTGTAATTTTGCTACTGTTATGAACTGTAATGTAAATATTTGTGTTTTCTGATGGTCTTAGGCGACCCCTGTGAAAGGGTCCTTTGACCCCCAAAAGGGGTTGTGACCCACAGGTTGAGAACCACTGATTTAGATAAAGCGTATGAAGACAAACAGATTTTTAAATAAATGAGTCTGTTAAGACTCAGTTTCAGAAATCACTGTTAAAAATTGACCATTATCCACCTAAAGAATGAATTAATTTCAGACATTTTCACTCTAGTGATAATTGGAAATTTATATATAAATCCTCTTGTATCTAAAAAAATATGTTCATACAAGAAAAAACATGATAATAAACATTATTACTTTAAAATAATAATAAAAATGATTACTTAAGCCAGAAATAATGCAAATAATGAATTCTGCTCTCAAGAAGCATAAAGAAAAGCAACAAAATAAAACTATAGGAAGGAGAAAGACTTTAGTAAAAGTATAGGTTACGTTAATTAGCGAGAAAAGAGTAGAATTTATAAATACATTGGAAATCTTAATAATATAACTTAAACACTTGTAAGACAAGACCCAAAGCAGTGATAAAACCAACATATTGAAAGACAAAGTGGAACCAAGGAAATGGAGAAGACTGCAAAGGAGTCAGTGCGTAAACTGGAAACTGGATAACTAATCCTGGGAATCATATCACCAAGACAAGCTAGGTAGGTCAATAAGCATGTAAAATCTTTAAGACTCAATTTCCTTGACAAATTTAGCAGAAAACACAATTATCTTGATGAAACATTAAAACCCTCTTTTATCAAAAGCCAGTTATTGTAAATGTTGCCAAGAGCGGATGAATAACTTGGTATCTTAGTGGGAAATTGAAAAGGTTGAAGCCAAAATCGTGGACACGTGAAGTTTTGAATTCTTAACAATAATAACAGAGTAATGTTGCAGAGATCAAAAGGCCAAAATGAAAAGCCAAACTAGAGAGCAAAACCGTCCATGAAAAGCCAAAATGGAGAGCAAAACTGTCCATGAAAAGCCAAACTAGAGAGCAAAACCGTCCACTCTCTACCAGGACAGAGAAATGTAGCAGTCATTTTATGCGCATTTTAAAAGGATGAACCCTGATTCTCTCCTAAGCTCCTGAGTTGCCAGGGGTAACCCCAAGGCAAATATGTGGACTTGCCCAGCTAGCAAAACTCAGGTTTCAGGGTCCAGCTGAGTCTGCAGCTTCCTTGGGCTTCTTCATGGGAAGAAGGTCTTTTAATATGCACAATGCTCGGGTCTGGGCACCCAGCAGCTATTAGCCTATTTCCCTCCTCGTCCCATCTTTTCAATTTTTCATTCTTTTCTTCCCCATCCTCTTCCTTCATGTCTCGTCTTTTCTGTTTAGTGAAGTGATCATATGTTACTATTCAAACAGGTAAGAATAAAATTGTGTAGCCAGGAGGTGGTGGCACACACCTTTAATCCCAGCACTCGGGAGGCAGAGGCAGGCGGATCTCCGTGAGTTCAAGGGCAGCCTGCTCTACAGAGTGAGTTCCAGGACAGCCAAGGCTACACAGAGAAATACTGTCTTGAAAAAACAAAACAAAAATGAAATTGTGTTTTCAAACTAAGAAACATTATGAGTAAGCTATCCTTTTTCTACTTTTAATAAAAAATGAGTTTAATTGCAAAAGGCATGACCTTTTATTAGAGAAAAGAAAAAAATGAAGTTTCCTTTTTTTCCGCATCACCTAGATGTAATTTGGCTAATTTCTTTTTATCCGTGGTGCCACGTGAAGGTTTGACTTTAAACACAGGGATGGTGACGCAGGAGAAGGATGTCAGCCAGTCAGAACCATGACGGTGAATGAGAGTGACCACAGACTAACCAAGCCTTTGTGGTGTCCTCGGGATCCAAGCGACCCTATAACACGAATACCACCCAATATTTTCTAAGTCGCTTCTGTGGCCACACATATTTTATTAGCTTTTATATAAACATCTCATTTAATGTTGCACCAGATGAAAGAACCACTGTAGAGGGTTCCTGCGACCTGGAGACTTAGTCTTTGCCATCTCCTTGATAAACTGGACCTTCTTCTCCTTCCCAGACTCCTCCTGTGACAGGCTCCCCTGCCTACATATTCCTGTGTAGGAACATGCTTGGTTGTTTCAAGCTCTTTTTACCATGACAAAGTCGTATCCTCCATCTCACCTTTACCCTCATGAACAATGCTTCCTCAGTCCAACCTGTTAGACCTGACCTCTTCAGAACCATTCTAGAATCTTCTCTCTGGCTCTGTAGCTCCTCTCTTTATCAACTCCTCCTTCAGGTGAGTGCCAGGCACCAACAGTTTATTTGCACTTGAAAAATAAAAACAGCAACCCTGCATTTAGGGGCATACGAAGACAAAAGTCAGTAGTGGAGACCTAGATAAATAATTTGTTTTTGAAGGCTGTGGCTATGACAAGACCGCATAGCTCACAATAGCTCACCTAAACACATTCTCTAGTTTATCCCCTAAGACTTTGGGGCTGCTAAATGGTTAAGTGAAGAGGTCAGAAGGTTTAAATCAGGCAGTACAAGTTTACAGACTTCCCTTCTCTCTGGCTCCTCCCTGCGTCCAGCACAATTACAAACTTAAGCGTTGACTTGGTCATCTTCTAAGACTCTGCCTCTCGGTGGATGTTTATATTTATAGAACATTCTACTAAAAACAATAAGGTTGTATTTTCTCCTGTTAACTCTAGGATGTTAGAGAATCCTGCCTATCCAGAGGTAGTCAGTCTCTGGACGTTGTGAGGGTGAGCAGAAAGGTTTTTAAAAATGGAGTGCTGTTCCTTTAAATTCTGCAAGTGAACTTGGCTTAAGAAGGCCAGCAGCTCCAGGTCCAGCCCCTAGAAGAGAGAACAGCTCCAGGCTCTCCATCCTCGGACTTTGCAAGGGGACAGTAGTGCCAGCTGGCTCTGGCAGGCTTCTGGCAGCATGGCAGTAAAGCTGGGGGCCTTCCTGCTGGTGTTTGGGCTCAGTGCGGTGTGGCCAGCTGCTGCCCACCGGAAGCTCCTGGTGTTTCTCCTCGATGGTTTTCGCTCAGACTACATCAGTGAGGAGGTCCTGGCGTCCTTGCCTGGTTTCAGAGAGATTGTGAACAGGGGAGTCAAAGTGGATTACTTGACTCCGGACTTCCCCAGCCTCTCCTACCCCAATTACTACACCCTAATGACTGGTGAGTACCTACCATGTCCACTTCTTCGACAGGAGGGCACGGATGCCCTCTGACTTTGGGAATCTTAATGTTTATATGTCCCGAGTCCCTCAGGACATGAAGGATGGGCAGGAGTCTATGGTCCCAGCTAACTCTTCCATTTTGTCATACCTGTGTTTTTCTACAAATGTCCTCCCAAGGAACTATTTTGGATTGTCTGTAAAGAGAAGAGATGACAATAACAAAAAATGGAAATTGGAGATTTTAAAAAGTGGTTATTGTTGTTTGCTTCACAGATTAAAAAAAATAACATCACATCTTCTAAGTTTAGGTGTAGAATATGGACAAGTCTCTGGGAATCTATACCAAGTCCCTCTGTCCCTTTACTGCTGTCTGGATTCTTGCAGATTGACTTATCAATGTATAAGACTGTGACAATTACTCTCAGGATCCCTCGGCAGGGAACTTCGTTTCTAGATGACTTGGAAGGGACATTTTAGGTCACACTCTTCAGTGTTCTCCAGCAATGCCACCCTCTGCTTTGGACTTTTTGGGGCCTTGTGAAATGATACAGAGACAAATTGTTTTTGTTGTGGAATTCAGATTGCCCAGCATCTATGAAATGAGGGGTAGGCAGAATGTAAGCACAAACCCCTAAAGAAATAGACGGAATTCCAACCGCTCATTTGGGAAAAGTGAATTTGGCTAAAGATGACCTCCCTCCATCTGGAATTGCCTGAATGTCAAAGGTGATTCCAGAAGGCTGAGCCTGTCTGTGTGATGATTCTTAACTTCTGTTTTTTTTTTTTTTTTTTTCATCTAACCTTGCAAAATCAGGAAGAGGTGTTCAGAAAGTTTGGGTTTTTTTTTCTTTTTTCCAGTCAGCTATCCAGGGAGGCTAAGAATACAGTCATTGCGAGACTTCACTGTGTGCTCTGAACTCACGGAGAACTTTGAAATTACATTACCAGACAAGACTTGAGAACTGTGATACCTCATTAAATAGCTTTATGGAACTCCAAAGCCAAAGAAGTCTGAAAATATGCAATGTGTCTTCAACTGTGTGTTCCAACCATAGAAAAAAAAATCCAATAAATGATGGTCACAGAAAGGGGCCAGGAACCCTGGGATTTCCATCTTGTATGGGTGTCCTAGGTATACACAAAGTCACCATGAGCTGACTCCCCAGATTAAAGGGAATATATACTTTGGAGAATTAGAAATGAAGATATGGGGGAGAAAAAACTCAGGCTGCACACAAGCAAGAAATTTATTTGTTTCCCCGCCTAACAGATAAACCAGTCTCTAAGATAAACAGTTAACAAAGGACTATTGGCCTTCCCTTGGTCTGTCTGTCCGTGCTCACTTGCTTGCTCATTGGGAAGCAGTTTGCAGGCTTCTGGGTTACACATAGATGCTATTGTGTGTCCCAACCCAATTCTGCATGGGGAGTGTCACACACACTGGCCGCCTCCCTCCACTTGTCTTTCAGAGCCTGCTGGGAGACACAATTCATAAGCTGCCACGTGCAGCTTTTTCAGTTGCACTGGAGAAAGAACAAAATCCAGTTTGTAAAGTCTGACCCCAGTAAATAAAAAGGGGCTATTGCAAACCCACATAGATGTGGAGCCAGTGACATGGACGTTTGTTTTTCAGACCCACATGGCTGATATGGCACAAGGATGAGTTTGCATGAAGTCTCTGTAAAGCAAATATACACATTTCTTTTCAGGCTATAGGTCTCTAGGGGATATGGGCTAAGTGATCCCATGAGCATCGTACATCCTCAGCCTGTGTTTCTTAGTAGTCTCAAGAGAAAGCTATCCCACGGGGAAAGACTATAGCTCTAAGCACACAAAGCTCTCACCCTAGTTTTGACAATAAAGCTAGCCAGAGGAGGAGGAGGCCACATATACCTTCTGTCTATAGATTTTCAGATGGTAAATACATTATTTGATTTGAAAGTCTTTTCTGTTTGTTTTTTAGAAATGATACTAGATATAGGCTGTGGCCAGCCAGACTCACGTTTATATTGAGATGTCTTTGGATATGTTTCATCCTGCACCTGAGGAGTAAACTCACAGTTTGGGGGAAGAATTTTCAGACTATGAAATCTACCTGTATCATTTTCACTGTCCTGTAACTGACCAAAGGATAAATTTAGACTTTTTTTCCACTTGATGTCGAGAAATTCCATTTGCGCTTGCTTCTAAGGAAGAATATACCCATTGACAATTCTATTTAAGCATATGGTTTGAGCATCTGAACATTTTATAAACCAACAAAATTGTTAAGTAGATCATACCCAAAGATAGATTGTTTGGATTTCTCAGAATTCATGAGAGAAGCTGTTCTTGCTTCATTACGTGGATTAGTGTGCATGAGATCAAAAGCTCTTAATATTTTTTAATTTCACATAATGAAGGATAATGGATTGTTGGAAGGAAAACTGCTGGCCTTGGAGTCAAAAAAACTTACTTGGAATCCTTGCAGGGAGGACTTTGACAATCCTCTGATTGCCCCCAGCCTCTGTGTCCTCGGCCCCAGTGTAAAATAAGATGAACTGCCGGGCCTAGATCTCTCCTAGGTTTCAGGTGCCGCTAGATGCAGGAATGGAAGCGAGTGATGTATTGGAGTTCAGGATGTTAGGATTGGTCTTCCGTCTGTTGTTCAGATGTGACATGCTCTACACGGCTTCCATGTGCTGGAGGCTTGGTCCTCCGTGTAGTTATGTTGAGAAACACTGTGGAAGCTCTCAGGGGGAAGGACTACCAGAAAGTCCTTGGATCAATGCAGGAACCTGTTCTCAGGAGAGAAATTAACGTAGTTCTCATGGAATCGGTGAGTTCTCACAAGATTAATTTACCATAGAAACTCGAGCCTGACCCCTGAATGTTCTCTGGATTTCTGATGTGAGATATGATGTATTTCTTCCTCGTGTTCTCCTGCCATGATGCTAAGTGCTGTCAGGACTTTGACAAAGACCAAATCAATGGAACCACCCAATCTGGGACTTACAGCCTCCAGGACTGTAAACGAAACAAGCTAATTTTCGTTATAAAATCCTCCACCTCAGACATTTCACGGTAGTAACAAAAGTCAGATCAATACAATCTTCTAGGGAGGCTTTCATACAGACATTAACAAATGCCCAAGACAGAATTTTTTTTTTTTTTGTTTTGTTTTTTTGGTTTTCCGAGACAGGGTTTCTCTGTGTAGCTTTGCACCTTTCCTGGGACTCACTTGGTAGCCCAGGCTGGCCTCGAACTCACAGAGATCCGCCTGGCTCTGCCTCCCGAGTACTGGGATTAAAGGCGTGCGCCACCACCGCCCGGCCGAGACACAATTTTTTAGAGTAGTCAATGGAATGTCATGGTAAATAAACTTGTTTATAAGCAGAGATTCTCCTGCCCCATCTAACGGGAAGAAGCCACTGTGCTGATTATCTCCCCAGCCCCCAAAGGTGTTTCCAACAGGATGATTGTGAACAAAATTCTGATAGTGATTAAGAAGATCAATCGATTGATTGCTGTAATCACGGAGTCTTAAAAAAAGGTCTTTCACCAAGGAAGGTGTACACTGCACTTGAGGAAAAAAGCCACTCAGAGAATAGCTCCCTACTAATATTCTAAAATATATCACAATGTGTTGTGAGCTCAGTTGTCCATACGCTGCCCAAATTCTAGGAGGCATTCCCGTCCACACTATATCAGAATGTGACTAGGTTTGTAATAAGATCTTTAAAGAGTGTTTATGTTAAGATGAAGCAATAGATTAGGGCTTTGTTACACTATGACCAGTGTTCTTTTAAGAAAAGGAAGAAAAAAATTGTGTGTGTGTTTTTTTTCAGCCAAGCGGTGGTGGTGCACACACTTAATCCCAGCACTAAGGAGGCAGAGGCAGATGGATCTCTGTGAGTTCGAGGCCAGCCTGATCTTACAGAGTGAGTTCCAGGACAGCCAGGACTACACAGAGAAACCCTGTCTCAGAAAGAGGAAGAAGAGGAGGTGGGGGAAGAAGGAGGGGGAGGAAGAAGAGGAGACTCCAGGTGTGTGGTGTGTGTAGAGAAAAGGCAAGGTTATGCCACAGCAAGGAAAGGTTCAAAGAGAAACTTCAGAAGAAACCAAATCTGGCATCCCTTTATGCTTGAACCTCTGGCCCCCAAACTGCGAATGAGTTTATCCTGCGTAAGCCACTCCACCTCGGGTATTTTGCTACGGTATTCTGTTTGGGTGTGAGCTTGTCGGGGTCGGGGTGGGGAAAACTGGACTAACACAAACAGACAGGATCCAGAAGCAGGTCAAAGAGGAGAATTTTCTTCTAGTCACAGGAGCACGAGGAAGCATTTTTGTTGGGACTGAGCCATGTAGCCCAGGTTAGCTCTGAACTCCTGATCATCTTGCCTCAGCCCTCTTAGTGGCTATTAGAATTATAGATATGCTCTTCTATGTCTGGCGATGAGAAAGCAAGGTGAAGCTTAGATTTGAGTGGGCGTAAATAGGCAGAAGCGTGGCTTATGTTGCTGTGTCTACCTTTCTGCATAATCTTTCTGAAGTTCAGTGTGTGTGGATCAAGTTAATGTTAGTTAAAATGCAACCACGGTTTCAATGAGGTTAGAGTACATTCCGCTTAAGTTCGTTTTACTGGGGATCTTTCTGGAAATTGAGAGTTTCCTTGGCGGGCAAATTCACTTTTAACATGGTGATTTCACATAAAATTAATGGAGGAAAAGAGAGTGATTTGTTCAATCCAGGTCATGGGTCAGAGAAAATGCTATCCAGAGTAACAACCATTGTTTTGCTAAGGCCAATGGAATGCTTGTTTGTCAGTTTTTGAAACGCTTGGCTAAGAAGTTCAAGTGGCCCATAAGTGTCCTCTGTAGCTAGAAAGCCAGTCTAGAATTTTAGCTCCATTTTAAAAAGTCTGCCAAGATACGAAAATGTGCTGAAGCGGTCATTTCCACACTTAAAAACAGCAAATGAGAAGCGAGGGAGGGGCGGGCTGAGTGATCCGCTCTAAGG